TCCCCAGGGGAGGGGTTGGCTCTGCCACATTGGGCACTTCCAAACCTCAGCTGGGCAGGGTGCTGAGCCATCTTGTCTAGGCTGGGCTCTTGCCCAGAAAGGTCAGGCCAGATGATCCTTGAGGTCCCTTCCAACCTGGGATTCTATGATTCTACGAGGCTTTCCCGGGAGAGCGCTGCCCTAGCCTGTAGCAGCATGACATCGGCACGGGAAGGGGTGCGCATCACTACCCAACTTCAGTTTAGCCTTTGGACCTCTTGCCTTTGGAAAGAAACCAAAGGCCAAGACTGCATCACTGTGCAAATTCATCCATTTTCATTGCGTTCTAGTATTGAAATACACTCTTCTGAGCTTCATAATCCAATTCAATTTCAATTCAATTTAATGATACAAAATGATGATGATTTTTTTTTTTCCATGCAGTAATCGATAGGAGGGTAACGGATAAGTGCTACAACGGCAGAAAGTTCTTCGCTCTGCAGTAAACATCTATTTTACGCCTGGGACGCAAGAGAAACCCGTCCTAAGAACAGGGCTGTAGGAGAACTTTGCTCTCTGGAGGCTGCTGTTCTATCTGCACAGGTTTCATCCATAATTAAATTAAATACTGCTCCCCGTAGGATTAACAGAATGTTGCGATTGCACTTCAAAACTCAAAATAGGAGGCACCACAGCCGAGGTCTAAGACAGCAGAAAGGCCTTCCATACCTCTGGAAGGGCTGAAGGGTGGGTGGGAGCATCGCCTGAAGGGACGTGGTTTAGGGCCAGGGTTTGGGGGTGGGATGGCAGGGTTAGGGGAATGACAGTTGGGCTTGATGAGCTTAAAGGTCTCTTCCAACCTAAACAATTCCATGATTCTGTTCTACGATCCTGTGATCAGCTGGGCTGATGCTGGCAGCACAAGCCAGCCCATGCATAACTCAGCCTTCCTCTCCACCAGCCTGGGCTCTGACCCCCAGCTGGTCCATCTGGGCTCGACCAGACACATAAAGCAACCCCAAACCCCTCTCCCGTTTGGTTCAGATCCATCCCCGCTTCAAGCGCTCGCAGCTGTAACTCCGGCTCATTTGCAAATCAACCACAGTTTATTTAATCTTCCTCCAACCTCCTTCCCGCAGGCTGCACATTCATCATCCGCAGGACTCTCCCGAACGGCACGCAGATCAATCGGGCTCGCTCAGCCCCTCTGAGACCCACCGCTACCCCCGCCAGCCACACGCAGCCGAAACCAACTGGAAAAGCCTTTTCAAACGGGTGACCCACTCACCGACAAAAACAACCAAGCACCGGTTTCACGCCTAACCAAAAATAGCGCCCTGGTTTCCAAACGACTGCGAGTTATTTCTGTTCTTCCCATGCCAGCAGATATTTAAGACCCATATTGCGCTTCTGACACCGTTTACAGGCTACGGCGAGGGCAGGTAGCAGCCTTACAGCCAGGAGGGAGACAGCACCGACCGAGCCTCCTCCCAGTTTTAGCTACCCAACCTCCAACAGAGCAAGCTGCGAATGATTTTATAGAATTTCTAATTCAGATTATTGCCTCTGTTTGGGGGGGGCTGCGGGCTGTTAGATGCAAACCGTAAGTTCAGATGGCTTAGATGGGAGATTTCTGCAACCTGCTATTTCTGCAAAGAGGAGCAGCCCGTTTTGCACGGCGTGTTCTGCCGACGGCGAGGCGGACGGCTCCTGCCCGGCAGCCAGCCCAGCCCCAGCCGTGGCGCTCACAGTATCAGACCCAACTTCGCAGAAAACTGCTTCGGAATTAAATCCCTTTCACCTTGCATGCAGGTACATACCCCGTATGAAACCTTTCCCATTTTTCTTGACGTACAACGTACGCTCGTAAGCACAAATCCCACACGTTTGTGCACAGAGATTCCCGTGTGTTCCCAGAGCAAGACCTCTGTCTTCCCAAACACCTTTTGGCTTTAAGGCGAATGATAGGGGAGGTGGAAACTGTAATGAAGGACCTGCTGGAAGAGCACCAGGACAGAGAGAGGGGTCCTGGCTTTCTGCAAGTTTTAAACCTACTGAGTGTCCAAAAAAAAAAACCAAACCCGCAATGTTTTGGATGAGATTACCCCTTGCATCTTTTCTTGGGTTCCTCACCTCAAC